TGAACTGCTTGGCAGTCTGATCTTCCTCCTCCAATGATTGCCTCCTCAAACCTCCCAACATGATCCTTTAGATTTGTCTCTTTTAGATTAACATCTCATTTTTTTATAAGCTTCATCTTCATAAATTTTGCAAAAATGTGATATAAAATGGATGTTCGAATAAACAAAAACAAATTATCTACTCTTAAGCAATTCAACTTATTTTTCTTAACATTATGGAATATGGATATGTGCTCCAAACTCCTTCCGTTGATGAGCTTGATATTGGTTGTGACAACATCTTTCTAGTTGTGCCTCCTGGTGCTATTTCTAATAGATATTCTACATTATAAAATCGCAGGGTTAAAGCTAATGCTAGACAATGTAAAGGAATTAATGTTACCATCTACTAAGCACAATTTTTTCAAAATAAAAAAAAATCTTGTTCGTGCATTTTATCTTCTTTTGTCATTTATCTTTTATTTCACCAAGCATGTTATCCATCTTTTTTCATAAATTTCACCCATTTTTGTCTATCGCCATCACAAAATTTTACCAACTAATATATAGGCTTTGTGATCTTTACGATGGAATCTACTTCATCTCAAAAACAATCACTTTGTGCGAGCTCAACAACTTTTGCCGTAGTGGTTCCATGGTCTAAGAACAACTAAAAAATCATTTGCATACAAGAACATACATTCTCAATTGTTTGTTGCAACAATATTTATGAGTGGATTGTGCTTTGTGTTTGACCATCTATTTGACATGATGGATACCCAGTGTGTGCGCCATGTCTGTTTAACAGGTTTCAACTCATTTTTAATATTAGTTTTATATGTATCCAACAGAGTAGTTCTAACTTGTTTACCCCTTAGGTTTATTATTTATGGTAGTGACCATCTCATGTGTGGGACCATGATTTTCTAGGGTCGGAGTAAGGTTGATTGGAATACAGTTATCTTAGAAGTCCAGTCATGGACTCGACAGCTCTAAGTGGAGCTGGATCAGACAAAGCAATGGTGCCACCATCACCCTGTTTCGGGGCAATAAGCTAAGCCCGAGCGACTCCGTTGGTATGACCATGCTTGTTTCACAAGTCACGTAATCTAATATGGATATGAAATCAATCAGATCCTTCATATGACTTGAAGTTCCTACAATCTTGGAACTGGCGTGCGCCGAAAGTAATCACAACTCCTAAGATGTTGCAATATTTACTTTTAGATATCCTCTAGGATTCTCTTGGCTTAGAACAAGGATTATATCCTAAAAAGGTCTCCCTTCCAATGATATAGATACATTCATGTAGGGTTCGTCCCTAATAATGCAATCTCGATACTATAATTCTCTTGCCCACTGGTTGAGTTTAAAACTGCTTATTAACTTGACCATCGGAGAGCCATTGACTAGCACACCCCTTGGTTTCAAGATTACTCACGGTTTTGCAGGTTACTCGGATTTGTACCTTCACCATTTGCGGCTTTACACAAATTTGGTTCCACCAATTGGTGCTTTCATTGAGAATGAACTCTTATTCCTCTCAACCAATCATGGTGGTTATGATTTTACCCTAAAGATACATACAATACATAAGATTTTTTTACAGTTTCTCCAACCCTTCTAATTTAAGATAGACTCTTCTCAACTCTTGATGACAACAACTTGAGCAAAATTTGAACAATTGGTAACTTCCCCTTGAAACTCAAAAAGATTCACAACAAGAATAATATCTCATTTCTTAAAATCTTCCGTCTTTGATACCATGTTACATGAAATACATTGTACCGGAACAACTTTGTAATAAACAAAAGATGACGATAAACCGCCAGCAAACAGCATAGACTCTGCAAAAATTTTCTCTCCGTGGTGAGAGCCCTCCGTTGTGAGCTCTATTCTCTCCTCTGTGAGAGTGTTCTTGTCGTAGCTTTTTAGGGGTCAGGCTCTCATTCTATGCGCCTTTACAACCGGAAGGTCGGAGGCTTGAAGGTCTGTCAGCAGAGGTTGGTGGCGGTTTAACTAAGAGCAGTTATTGCTCTGATAGTCTGTTTCTCAACCATGAGTGCAGTGGTTCGCATAGTGCCGTCTAACCTCAAATCAATCAAAATAGCGGGGATAACGAGCTCTCTAGCAAGCATTCACTATCTGGGTTTCAAAGAAAGAAGTACCAATTTCTCTGTCCTCTTTACCTTTACCCACACCCACAACATGAGTTCTATTTCTGAGGACGATCGAGTTTAGGTGCATTCGGCGATGGAGGATCTGGTCGTACACCTAGAGGAATCTTTAGAATTAACTCCGATGGAGCAAGGTGTGAAACTGGTGGGAGCGGTGTTACACGCGAAGCAACTCAACAAGTAGGGGGTCAGAAAAATTCTGCGGGCAGCTTGGAAAGAAATGGGAGAGATGTAAGTCAAATGGGTGAAAGATAATCTGTATATCATTATAGTGCCTGATGAGAACTCGGCTAGGCAAATTCTATCTCAGGTTCCCTGGGCTGTGATGAAAAAAAAAATTCAGTTAAAAGATGGTCCCAGGACTTAGCTTTGGAGGAAATTAAATGGGATTTGGTCCCCTTTTGGGTCCAAATCAGGGGCGTTCCGTTATGTCTCAGTTCGTCTTCAAACATCACAAGGTTAGCTATGGCTATTGGGCAAGTGGAGGAAGTGGAAGATCCGTCTATGGCATGTGGATTTCTGCGAGCGAAAGTGCTTGTTGATACTACTATGCCTCTCATCACGGGATGTTGGTTGCCCAGTAAACAGAAGCAGGACACCTGGATTGAATTTAGCTATGAAAGACTCCAGGATTTTTGCTACAGGTGTGGAAGAATTGGGCATATGAATACGGATTGCCCATTTGAGCAACATCGGGGTGGTGGAAATGGTTATGGGGATTGGTTAAAAGCTGCCCCGATTCGGGAAATTATTGAACGTCCGAGACCAGCTCAAACCAATCTTAGCGGACGGAAAACGACGGGTATGAAGAGATTGATAGAGAGTGGAGGTGGAGGGCAGCGCGTGGGATGCAGGGCGACCCCGTCGAGTGAAGCTAATGTGGCAAGCACGGAGGGCCCCACACACATTGAAGCGGCTCGCATTCCCAGTGAAATGCAGACCTGGAGACAGATTGGAGGGTCTAACATCGTGGATCTCAAGAAGGGGTCTTGTCCGTGGGCCCTAGCTGAACACCTGCACGTGATCAATGGTCAGTTAGGTCGGGCTTCTGGCTTACTGGGCCCTCAATCTAGTAGAACTCTAGACTTTCACATCCCGCTGGATTTGAGCCCATCAGTAAGACTTGTTCACCTGGATGAGGGTCCGTATGGCGTTACTGGGCGACCCACGGCTGGCTCGAGTCTGACGGAGGACGCGGAAGCCCAAGACGAGATTCATCTTAAATCAACAACGGGTATGGAGAACCCAATGATGCACGTCATTCAGACACCTTTACTGGTTTCTTATACATAAAGGACAGTCCTCCCCCGTAAAGGTTCCAAACAGAAGAGAATGCTAGAATTACAACATGCAAACTTGGCTCTCTCTGTCACGAAGAAGATAAAGAAGGGAGATGGTGGTATTCCGCAACAAGATAAAACGCGATTTCGGAATCTTTGTGTCCAGGCCAGGTACTTGGAGGGGGAGCGGGACTCATTGGTGCAGAAACCTTTTCTGGAGTTTCATTCTAACAGCCCAGCCCATGGAGTTTTTTCGGAGAAAAGTGGAGACATAGAGCAGAGGTTTAGTACGGAGCAACAGCATGATGGTTCATCTCGTGGCGGTGGCGGCTGGCCCCTAACAGCCGCAAGGCAGCCATGAATTACCTTCTTTGGAACTGCCGTGGTCTAGGGTCGGACCCGGTAGTTCGGGCCCTTCGTGGGCTGATCAGGAAACATAGACCCTCTATGATCTTTTTATCTGAGACGAAAATGAAGGATCATAGGATTGATGGTATTCGTCGGCATATGGGGTACTCTTTTGGCTTCCATGTTTCGCCTATTGGTCGAGCAGGGGGATTAATTTTATGGTGGCATGAGTCGATGAATGTTAATATCCTCTTTTCTTCTACTCACATTATTGATGTGTGTTTCTGCATGGAGGATTGTCGCTCCTGGGTGCGTTGTACTTTTGTTTATGGTACGCCGTACAGAAGAGAAAAGATGGATTTCTGGAATTGGATGACTAACTACTTTGGTCCGACGGATATTCCCTGGCTTTGTGGTGGGGGATTTCAATGAGTTTGTGTGGGACCATGAGAAATCTGGGGGAGCTCGTGTTCTTTACAATAGACCTGGATACTTGAACAATTTCTTGAATGCGGCTAATTTGATGGATCTGGGGTTCATTGGTCCGAAGTTCACGTGGCGTGGTATGCGGTATGGTAATCTTGTTGAGGAAAGGTTAGACAGGGCGGCTGTTAACTTTCTTTGGCAAAATCTTTGACCTCATACTTCAGTCCTTCATGAGACAGTGATTGGCTCGGACCATTGCCCAATCGTGGTTCAATCCCAGCCCTCTGCGCGTAAGGGTAAACGAATATTCCGTTTTGAGGCTTTCTGGGCTAAGGAGGAGGATTGTAGGGATTTGGTGACAAAGTGTTGGAGCTCTCTAGGTAAGGGGCGGTGGCTCGATACGTGGCATCAGAAACTCTCAATCTGTAAATCTCATTTAATCACTTGGAGTCGAAACAAGTTTAAGAAGCGCGGTTTGGAAATCGAGGAGTTGGTGCATCATCTGGATTTGCTTCAGCTTCATTGGGAGGATAATGTTGAGGAGATACAAGTCGTCTTTAATCGCATTGATCAGTTGCGTGAACAGGAGGAACTATATTGGTTGCAGAGGTTTAGAGTCAACTGGTTACGTGATGGTGACGCCAATACTGCTTTCTTCCATCGCACGACTCTTCAAAGGAGACGGGTTAATTCAATTGTTAGGTTGAAAGATGTGGATGGCCAATGAGTGGATGATGGTAGGAGGGTCTTCACCTTAGTGGATGATCACTTTCAATCCCTTTATACTTCCATGGGTAGTAGGGATTGGGGTAATATACTCAACTGTTTGGAGCCTATGGTTTCGGAGTTAATGAATGCTGATCTTATCAAGCCTGTTTCTGAGGAGGAGATTAAGGCTGCTGTTCATCAAATGGGGGGTTTGAAGGCTCCGGGACCGGACGGGTTTCAAGGTATTTTTTATCACTCCTTCTGGGACATTATTGTTGCTGAGGTGAATGGTTTGGTGATGGATTTCATGCAGGGTGTGGGTAACTCTCGAAGCATTAACTCTACGTACTTAGTTTTGATTCCTAAAGTCCCTACTCCTGAACTGGTGTCCCAATATCGTCCTATCAGTCTTTGCAATTTCTCTTTTAAGATTCTTTCCAAGGTGTTGGCAAATCGTTTGCAACCTTTGCTGCCTCTGTTAATCTCACCTATGCAGAACGTTTTTATTGCGGATAGGCAAATTCAGGAGAACCTTGGGCTTGCTCATGAATTGTTCCATTTCTTGAAGCTGAGGAAAACTAAGCAGAAGTTTGAGATGTGTGTTAAATTGGACATGCAAAAGGCGTATGACCGAGTTGAATGGGACTTCTTGGAAGCGGTTTTGTTGAAACTCGGTTTTAGTCGTGACTGGACCAATTTGGTCATGAACTGTGTGCGTACGGTGAAGTTTGCGATCTTACTGAATGGTCAGCCTGGGAAATGGTTTTCTCCCTCTCGTGGAATCCGTCAAGGAGACCCTCTCTCTCCGTATTTGTTTCTTATGGTTAGTGATGTTCTTTCCCGTATGATTCAGAGGGGAGTAGACGATATGCGGCTTAACGGTATCCACATGAATCCTCGTGGTCCTTGTATTTCGCACCTGTTTTTCGCGGATGATACTTTAATCTGCCTTCAGGCGACTCAGAGAAATGGTGAAAATATTATGCATATCCTCAACCAGTATTGTTTGGCCTCGGGTCAGATGATGAATCTTCAAAAGTCTAGTGTGTACTTTGGTCGGAACACTCCAGCTCAGGTGAGGTCGCAGCTTGGCTCCTTATTAGGTATGCCGTCGGTGTCCGACCCGGGGGTGTACCTTGGGCTGCCTGCCATTTGAGGAAGATCTAAGCGTAGTAGCCTTGCTTTTGTGAAAGGGGGAGTGTTGGGAAAGATTCAGGGCTGGAAGCAATCTGCTCTCTCTTTTGCAGGGAAGGAAGTTTTACTGAAGGCTGTTGTTCAAGCTATTCCTACCTACCATATGAATTTATTTAAATTCCCGGTTGCTGTTTGCAAAGACCTAGACTCTATGTCCGCGGGCTTTTTGTGGGGTGACTGTGGTGGGCATAGGAGGATTCATTGGGTGAATTGGGATACTCTGGGTCGGCCTAAATATGAAGGGGGTTTGGGATTTCGGAATTTCCAGGACTTCAATGATGCGTTGTTAGTCAAACAATGCTGGTGTTTGATTCTTAATCCTAATTCGTTATGGGCTCAGACGCTAAAGGCACGGTACTTCCTTCACTCTTCCTTCTTGGATGCGAAGTTAGGAAGTCGTGCCTTTTGGGCTTGGGCTAGCCTTCCCGTGGGTCGTGACATTCTGAAAAATGGAGCTCACTGGCAGATTCTGAATGGCAAGGATACTCGGCTTTGGGTTGATAGATGGCTACCCTCTCTTCCTCTTGGGCATCCTATTCCCAGTTCTCCCACTTCTGTCACTTTGAATACCAAGGTCTCCTCCCTTATCTGCCCGAGTACCAAGTCGTGGGACATTGAATTTTTACGTCCGTTCATTTCTGAGGTGGAACTAAAAGCTATTTATGATATTCCTTTGGGGAATTGTTCTCGCCGGGACCGATTGATCTGGACGTCGAGTAGGTTGGGTAATTATTCGGTCCGGTCGGGTTATCACTGGATCCATTCCTCATGGGAGTTGACGAGGGCTCCTGCTTCTGTCGTCACAAGTACTTTGGGGACCTCGTTTTGGAAAGCTATTTGGCATGCTAAAGCCCCGCCGAAAATTCGTCATTTTTTATGGCGAGCTGTTAGTGAGGCTTTGGCCACTGTGGGGGGTTTGTTTAAGCGCAGGTCTGCTTCATCTCCCATGTGTCCTATTTGTAAGACTCAGGAGGAATCAGTGCTTCATTTGCTGCTGAGGTGTCCTTGGGTTGAGCCAATTTGGTATGGTGGTCCGCTTGGTCTTCGGAGGGTTGGTGAAGGTGTGTCTTCTTATCATCACTGGCTCAGTGTTTTGATCAACCATACTCCTAATCTTCAGGACCGATCGAGGCTTCTCTCTGTCATTGCTTTCTCTTGCTGGTACATTTGGAAGGTTAGATGTAATTTTATCTTTAAGGCTTCGGCCTTAGCTCCCTCCCAGGTGCTGCATTCTATCTCTTTCTCCTTGGGTTCTTTTTTGGAGGTGCAGGTTCCTTTGTCCCGATCCCGACCTTCCCCCATTCTAGATCCTCGTTGGTCCCCCCCCATCTGCTCCCTTCATTAAAGTTAATGTTGATGCTAGCTGGTGTCAGTTTGATGGTATGGCTAGGTTGGCTGCGGTGCTGAGGGATCATAATGGGCTTTTTGTTGCGGCCCACAAGTGGTCTATTGGTGCTCCGTTTGTGGTGTTCGCTGAAGCTTTGGCGATGCTAAAGGGCTGTGAGTTGGCGGCTGAGTTGGGTTTTCGGTGGATTGTTGCTGAATCGGACTCGCTTGAGGTAGTCTCGTCTTTGAAGGGTGATATTGCCCAGGGCAGCTGGGAAGTATTCCCCATCCTAGAATCTATTTTATGGTTGGGGAATTCTTTTCAGGGCTGTCGCTGGTCTTGGGTTCCAAGACTGGCCAATTAGTCGGCGGACCATCTGGCGTCGAGGTCTAATTTGGAGATGTGCGGCATCATTTGGGTCAGGCGACCCCCATCTTCTTTGGTTCACATTCTTAACAAAGATGGTCTTCCTTGCCCTCCGTAAGTGGTTTTTGGTTTGGGTGTGTGTTGGGACGACGTCTCACCTTTGTGGTAGCGTCCTTGTTCTGTTGTTCTCCCTCACACAGCCCTTTGTTTGTTTTGCTGTGCTTGCCCTTGTGTGGGCTCTCTGTTTTTCTGTTGGCTTTTGGCCTGTGCTCTTATAACATCCCTTCCAAAAAAATAAACAAAAGATGACAGGAAATTCAAAATGTGGAGACCATTAAGCAATAAACGAATTATTAAAATGTTCAATTGTCATGAAGCATAGCCTCATCATGCTAAAACAACACAATGTCAGCTGTAATCGAACATCATAATCTCCTAAATGTCGTTCATAAATTTAAACTAACATTACCAAGAAGCATTATGTACCTGCAAAAGCCTATGCAACAAACAATTTAGGATTTGTTTTTGTCGGGTTTTTCCAGCCCGTGATGAATTGTCCTAAGGATTTGTTTTCTCATACTCCAATTGGGAAATATAGTCTTGGAGAATTAAATTGTTTTCCAATTGAAATTGTTTCTCGATTGGAGTGGTTTTCCTAATTGGAGTTAGTTTCCCAATTGGAGTAGTTATCCTAATTGGAGTTATTTACCCAATTTAAACTATTTACCTACTTTAAACTATTTAATCAAAAGATGTTCCATCAAGGGAGTCTGGTCATGGATACTGTGATTCAGAAAGCCTAGTCATGAGAAGTCTGATCAAGAAGAGTTTGGTCAAGAGAAGTTCAATCAAGGAAAGTCTGATCATAAGTAGTTTCAATCAGGATGACCCTGGTTACAAATAGTTCAACCTGGGGAGTTTGGTTATGAGTAGTTCAATTAGAATAAGCCTGGTTATGAATAGTTTGATTAAAGGGAGTCTGGTCATGAGTAATTCAATCAGGGGAAGCCTGATTATGAGAAGTTTGATTAAAATGAGCAATCCTATTTTGGTATACCTTGCTCATGGTCTGTAAGGGAGATTGTTGGGTTTTTACAGCCCATAATGAGTTGTCCTAAGGCTATTGGGAAATATAGTCTTAGAGGATTAAATTGTTTTCCCAATTGAAGTTGTTTCTCAATTGGTGTGGTTTTCCCAATTGGAGTTGGTTTTCCAATTGGAATGGTTTTCCCAGTTGGAGTTGTTTTCCCAATTAAGGTTGTTTACCCAATTAAAGTTTGAGTTGTTTACCCAACTGAAGTTTATTTATCAAATTTAAATTGTTTACCTCGTTTAAATTGCTTGCCCAATTTAAGTTGTTTTCCTAATTGGGATTAGTTTCTCAATTGGAGAAAGATTTATAACTAGATTCCATTTACAATTAGTAATCCTTATTGAAGAAGACTTTTATTATGTTTATATAAAGGGGCTATTGTACTAGTTTTGAATTTGGAGCAAAGCAATAATTTGTATACCACTCAAGGACATAGAGTGAGAGAAGAGCTAAGTGTGTGCAAGAGGAAAAAAAAAAGAGATAAGAGTATATTTCTTACTCTTGTTCTTTCAGGTTTTCGTGAAGTCTTAATCCTAGAGGCTTGGGTAGATTATCCGTTGTACTCGTTATTGATATGCTATAAAAGATTGTTGTTGTAGTTGCCCCGTGGAAGAGGCACATATAACCGAACCATGTTAATTCTTGGTGTTGTTTATCTTGGTTATTTTGTTTTCGATTTCTCAAATTTGTTCTGTTTTTTCCGTTCTTAAATGTATATTCACAACAACACTGTAGCAAGAACAACTCTAGCCCCGGATTGGTGTAAATACTTAATTGTTAATATCGCATTGGATTGGAATCTCTATTGTTCCACTTTTGCAGCAAGTTCCTCCCTTTGGAAATTTTCTCAGAGTCTACAAGTGAGGCAAGGAACTCAATCATCCTCCATTGGCCTAAAACAGCAAAATCCAATTGAAAAAATTGAAAATTAATCACATTAAACAAAAAAGAAGTGAAATTTAGCTGGTGGATTAGAGTTTTGAGTAAATTACCTTACACTTAAATGCTAAATTAATGGCAAGGAAATTTGCTCTGAGATACACTGAAACAGTGACGTTTGGGAGAAATGCCTGAGGATGTGGGAAAGAAGCAGTGACGTTATGGAAAGAACCTGAGAATTTGGGAGAGTTGGGGGTAGGGTGGGTAAACGGGTAAAGGAATCGTAGGTCGGGGTGGGTACGGGCCGGTTGCAAATGTTTTAGAAAATAAACGGGGCGGGGCGGGGCGGAGTGGGCCCATGCCATTTACGGGGCGGGCCGAGTCCTAAACCCTAGAAAAACGAGGCCCGGACCAACCCATTTCTAATTATAATGAACGGTCGAGATTGAATGATAACCTATCATCCAATCTGAACAGTTAGTTTCTAAACTTTCTACCCTAGTCATCCCAAGTCCAGGTTTCTAGAATCAGTCTCACTCCCACCTTTCCACCATCCGTCACTCCCTCGACTTCGACGACATCCTAGAGAACCCAGCCCATCACCACCGTCACGACCAACGACACCACCCATCTAGCCATCATTCTCGATGACATCCTAGAGAACCTAGGTCCTAGAACCACGTTGGCTCAATTCTCTCCTCTTCGACAACACCATCGCATTCGCAACCACCATCACCCCATCACTGTCGTCGAGAACACTGCTACCAGCCATCATCCCTCTAAAATTTAGGTAATTTTGAATTAGGGTTTTGTTATTAATGTGAATTTCTGGTGTAGTGATTGTAGGGTTTTTAAATTAGAATTTGTAGATTGATGAATATCGAGAATTTTCGTGGGTGTTGATTTTACTGGGTTCATTTGCCCTCCAATTGGGTATTGGGTATTCATTTTCGTGGGTGTTGGGGTTATGGGAAGGAGGGGCAAATGGCTATAATCGATGCAGGTCAAGAGCTAATATCAAGTTGAGCTTCACATTCCTCTGTCTCTAAAGCTTTAAATATTTGCAAGTAATGTTTTCGTTAATTTACATTTTGTGATTTAAGTCATTGCAAATGATCATTCGTAGGTAATCGCATTATCATTTGTTAGAGTTTAGTTTGAATGTTTTCCCCTAGTATTGTTTGTTGTATTGAATTGCGGAGGAATTATTGTTAAACTAGTGTCATTGTTATAGTACATGGATAATAGATGAAATTGTGGTTTGTTGATATTGTCTGATTCACAATTACGGTTTATGATTTTGGTTATTTTTCAAACAACTCCGCGTATTCGTTCTATGTATTTTGTAGTTTCTATTTACAATTACTTAACAGAAGGTGGTGTTTTGTTCATGATATCATCCTTTATATGATGCACAGGGTTTAACTAAAGCAAAAAGGTTGCTAGAAGCATTTGTTTTACTTAAGTTAATTGTGAAATTGAAACAATGAAATTTGTTCTTGGGGTGGGGAATAGTTTCTTGTGGTTCATGCTTTTACATGATTAGCTCCTATATGGAAATTTTCCAAGGTGAAAAAACAACTTGTATTTAAGAGCTACTTGCTTCTTTTACTTGGAAAGTGCTTCTTTTACTTGGAAAGAAGCAATATAATTACTACTACAAGATAGGGAAAGGAGCTAGATCACTATGGTTACTGCCTTATGTTAGCACTTTGCACTTCCATTATGTAAATTCCCTTGAGTGCCTGTGGGCAACAATTTATAATGGCATTCTCCATTGTCTTGCAATTATGCAATAGGATTCTTTTTTTTGTTGGTAAATGCAATAGGAGTTTAAGTACTGCAAACGCTTTACCAATGTTTTCCTTGTTTAATACACTAGGATAAGTAGACTTCTCCTCTTATTTTGTCCTAGAAGACAAGGGATTCATCATACAATAGAACCTTAATGATAGATTGAAGAGTGCGATTGTGAATCTATAGTGGAATTAGATAATTTATCCTGTTTTCTGTGTTTGTACCTCATTTTGTAACTCTTATAGGGAATTACAGGCCCAATCATGTTCATATGAAAAAAAGGTTACTGCACTAGACAGGGTGTTCTTTGTAATGTTTGGATTGGATGTGAATCTGTGCAGGGATGTAATTTATGCAAGTTGTAAAATCTGCATATTGCACTAGTGGTGAATTTGTGCAAATTTTAAGTTTTTTTTTCACAAAAAAAAAAAAAAAAACCCAATGGACCCTTGGACCCGGCCAGGCCCGTCTCTTTTAAACTCGAGTCCAATCCGGTCCCTTCAAAATTGGGCCCGGCCCGGCCCTAGTTGGGGGAGAGACGGTTGCATGAAAAGAGATCAACGACGTGTCGTAAAGAATGAAACGGTTCGTAGTAAGAACTGATTCATAAGACGGCATGTAGTTTCCCAAGTATTAATTCGCAGCTTCTACAAAGCGAAGCAAAACGGGGAAGAAGCTCTCAGTGTGGACTGGAGAAGAAAAGCCAAACGACAATTCGTGCTTGCATCGTTAACGACGTCGTTTAGGGCCGATACCGGAGTTCTAGCCTGCTCGAGATCGCAGCCAGAATGGCGATGAGTTTGGGCTTCGTTGTTGGCATCTTGGGCGTTGTAATTCTCTCTCATGCCGCTTATTCAACCGTTCAATGTAAGCCCTAACCTTCTGTATATCTATATATCTATATGTGTGTGTGTGTGTGTGTGTATATGTATTTAAAGATCGATTTGCAGTAGTTGAGTAAATTTTTTTAGGGGTTTTGTGTGATTGAAATTGGACTGTTTGATTGATTTGATTGCAGACAGAGGATTGTTGAAGATTATGGAGGAAGAGTTTCCAGGACCTCCATTGACTGTAAGATTTAGCAAAAACAAATTCTGAAAATTGTTCTGATTGTGTTTTAGGTGCTTATTTGTCTAAAAGGGTTTGTTGGGGATACAGGTGGTGGCTGAATTGCTTCTAGGGTTAGTGTTCTGTATGTGGGCGGCACTTACTGTCCCGGGCACATTTCTTTCGATTCATCCCCATTCTGAAGAGAATCGGTATGTTTATGCGTTTTATTCTGTTCAACATCTGACTTAGATTTGAGTTCAGGGTGTGATTGGACTTATTTTCGATTGAATTGAAAGTTGAAGTAAACTGTAATCATTGTGTTATGCTTATGCACTTTGCATATAATACGGTCTAGAATATCATGTTTGCGAATTTGTGATTTGGCAAGGATTGGATCGAAAGAAGACGTCAACAATTTCAAATTTTATGTTTGATTCAATGTTTTAAAAGGCTTGCCTCAGGGTGCGCTTAGGTGCCCTCTGAGGCTGGGCTTCAGGGTTGCCGCCTCTGTTTTGAGGGAGTGGGAGTAAGGCTTCGCTGGAGCCGCCTAGGCAGCCAAAGGCGCACCTCAGGTTTTTTTTTTTTTTTTTTTTAAACTCCCAAACCCAAATTTTGGGTAGGGTTTTAACTGCCTCATACCTCTTCCTTGCATTATCGTCTCTCTGCCTTTTTATTCTGATTTTTATTTTTTATATAATGGATGTGTGTGTTATCTGCGTGCATTGTTATATGTGTGCTGATTACGCTTTTCATCTTTTATTATATATATATATATATATATATATAATATAATGTGTCTATATATGTGTGTATATATATTTATAATATATTCGTGTGCTTAGAGTGATTATTGGTTAATAATCTTCTTTTTTTTTTAATATAATATATGTGTACGCTCAGTGTATGTATTAAAAAATTTAGGTCCTATGAGGCCTTCGCGTCACGCGTCAAGCCTAGGCCGGGCTATCCCTCGGGCGCCTCGCCCACGCCTCACGCTTTTAATACACTGGTTTGATTATAGTCAGATTGAGAAAATAGAGACCATAAAGTAAAAAACGGGAACTTTGAATATTCCCTTGTGCTTGGTTAAGTTGAAATAAAGAGAATATGTTAATACTTTGGGAACTTTATTAAATCTTAATTTAATTGGAAGATAGACTTTGAGAAGAAAACCCTGGAGTTAAATCCTTTTCTTTTATATTTTCACTAATAATAGGATAATGGAAAGATAAAGGCCGATTGGATTGAAATAAAAGAGAATGTGTGTTGATTGAAGAAATGGATGCCAACTCCAAATTTTGTCCGAGTATTATCTTCTTCCACCAACTTGGACAGATTTGGAGGTTGACATCCATTTCTTCAAGCGCAGAGAGTAGTTCTTTGCTTTCTTGATTATCGATAAACCCAACATAGGCTAAGAGCGGAATTTGTATATCTCCTTGTAGTGGGGCTTATGGATAAGGTTATTAGCTGTTGTTCCCATGTCCTTCTGAAGATTGTGGAGCAATGCTCCCTTACAGATTGAAAACGGAACTTTCTTTCTGTAAATTTATTGTAAAGTAAGAGAGAATATTCTGCAGTTTTTTGGCGATGCAGTAGATAGTTTCACATTCTTAGTTAACTGAGAAGTTGAATGCTATTCAAATGGGAATGCACTGACATGCTCCCTGTTGTTATTGGTGAAACATGTTGCAAATATGCAAATGGGAGTTATCTGAAAAAAAGGTCGACCACATAACAAAAAACTTATTATCGAGATAAAATTGGGATGTGAGAGTAGTGGGATAAAGGGAGGGAAGTTTGTAAAGAGATACAAAACGTAGGGATTAAAATCTTGAGTTTAGAGACAAAAAAAGGGCGAGTGCAATATAGCTTTTGACTTTTTTTAATATAAGATGACCATCAATTTACGTAATGCATATAGAAGCTGCCCTTAATAATTTTGGGCAACTATCTCTTATAAAAGATAATAGTTAAAGGCAACCTACGAATGAGCCTGATATTGGACTTCACTTGTAAACTATCTGGGTTTGTTTAGTAATTGGGAAATATATTGTAACCCTCTTTGCATGGCCAGATACTTTAAGGTTACTCGAAGATGTGGTTGACCTTAATTTGTCTCCCATCAGTTATCAAGTTCATTTTTCCTTGCATAAGTAACTTTTAATGCATCAGTAAGACTGAGGGCTAATCCTTGATGCATATTCATAGAGATGGGTGGATAACAAATGCGTACTCTTCAACAAGGAAAGAACCAGCTATGTCTGCGCTTTTTAGGCATAAACTTTGCAAGAGAAACTGTGTGAATGAAATATGTCAGTTGCTATTTATTCCACGGTTTCAGCACTGGAAATTCAGAGTTGTGGAGTGATAGCTAATTTGACATTGGAATTGGTATATGCAAGATGTTTGATCAGATATTTGACATTCGTTTATTTTTGGAGTGCAGGATTGTTTCTCTACCAGACAACCTTGACTTTATGATTTTCAACCATCGTGCCAGAGTGTTACCTGTGGAGATGGATTTGAAGTTCAAACACTGAGGTTTTTTCAATCAAGCGAACTGGGACCGATTTCAGTTTCTTTCTTGGCCTTTAAAAGGGTAGAATGGCAGCATTTGGCAGATCAGTTGGCATATGTTGCTTTACATTTCATACTTGTCTCGGACTGTGCTCTTGTATTTTCTCTTAACATCTGTAGCCCCCCTACCAAAGACAGATACCTGCCGACTTTCTCGTTGCCAATGAGATTTTCCACTTGGAGATTTTCCAGCTTTCTAATTATAATTCCAATGAGATTTGCTCGTCTCAATTTATCCTTATACTTGCATGGCGAGAAAAGAAGTGGGAAAACCGCTTTCCATTTTTCTCTACTTTAAATGACTACCCAAAAAGGAAATAAAAGTTGAAGATCATGGAGGAGCACATGATTTGCTGCTATATGATCAACTCAATATTAGAATTCAATGTGTCAATACAAATACCAAATGATGGTGAAAAAACCCCAGAAAAATTGGTTCACAAGAAAGCATGGAAATTGAAAGGAAACAAAAAAATACATTTACATTACCTCTAACAAAAAAATATGTGAGAGTGGGACTACTAACAGCTAGACTCTACTCGTAGAACAACCAACCAAGTACACAAAAGCCCCACTTCTAAAATCCCTAGAAAACCAGTCAGTCAAATTAATCTACAACTGAGTGAGTTCCTGTGGGTTTTCCATCGACTGTCTCAGAATAAACTCTGCTCTCCTCTTCTTGTCGTCCCTCTCCTCCTCTCGCCCGAACCAATATGCCGGTCTTCCGGAACCCTTCTTTTGCAGGCTCAGATCCAACGATTGCCCCAAAAACTTCTTCCCGCTTCTCAACTTGAAATTCACTGCGGGTCTGCTTTCAGGAAGAAGCTGCCTCCTTTCGTCCTCTCCATCCATCCATGCTCCGCTTTTCACTGCTTCAATGGCGGGCGCAAACGCATCCAAAAGGGAAGAACCATCATTGTTGTTCCCTTTTGCCATTTCATCCGAAAACTGGGATGGCAAAACCACTTGGGATACTGATACTTCTTTCTCCCCCGGCTGGATTGGCGGTTCAAGGAATGGATTACTTTGATCAGTCTCATTCCCCTGTAATAATAACAATCCCCTTCCATCATTAACGCCGTTGCCACCAGCCAATGCCACTGCTGCAGAGGCTCCTCCTGAACTAGAAGCCTCTCCATTGCACAATAACCTCTGCTGCAGACTCAACAGAGACCTCTCGGCCTTCCTCCTCTGCCGAGCCTGCTCCATCTTATCTTCTCGAGGATCAGTCTTCCTCTCATTCCACATTGGTGTTTGAATGTAAGTGTGTGGATCAGGGAAAGCCGGCAACCAATTGGGCAAATGCTTACTCGGCGGTGCCTCCCCAATCTGCTCAAAATTCGGGATCAATTTTCGTTGCTTGATCACTGGAAACCGAGGCAACGGCTGTGCAAACGGGATCTCCTCAGCCGAACCTACATACTCCACAATGCCTCTTACAATCCCGGACTCTGCAAGACAATGACCCACCTCCGCCGCACCCAAAAACCCTTGCGATGACTCCAAATCCTCCAGCGCCCTAATAATATCAAACACATTGGACTCGGTTCTGCCCGCCAAATTGGCGTAAAAACTCGACATCTTCCCTAAGTCACGGAGGTATCGGATGGCAATGTCGGCCATGGCGTCCATCGCAGACTCTTTGAAGCTCTGAAACCCAACGCTCTCGCATATCTGCGCCACCGCAACTTTCGACACTGCCCGGCCAAACTCATCGGCTCCTCCTCCTGCTGCTCTCCTCGGCACATCACTACCGGGTTGATTCACTCTGCTGCTACTGTCCGCATCTCCATGGCTCATATTCAAACCCTCATATCACTCAGCTTTTTCTTCAACTCTCATATTAATCGACCCGTGAGCGCATTCCGGCAAGAACCCACGAATTTCCCCTCCTTTTCCCTCGTTTTCTCGGCAGTCAAACAGAAACATATAAAGGGGGAAATAAAAATCGAGCCGGACACTCAGAAACCCTAGAAAAAAACCCAGAACGCAAAGCTCAAAGATATTCAAAAATTGAAGTGAAAGAGACGCATTTCTCGGAGTCTTGCAGCGAATTGAAGACTCCGGAACACGAATCAGAAGCCAAATTACAGAGTTGGAATTCAGATTTTGAGAAACATCGCAAACCCTCCAGGAAGGAAGGGAAATTGGGTAGGGTTAGGGTTTGCGAGAGGGAAGAAGGTTCGGAATATGGAGGGAATTTATGAATTTTTGAAAAGAAGAAATTGAAATTCGATAAATTTCTGGTAAGACCCTAGAGCAAAATTGGCATCAAAATTCAAAAGGGAAGGAGATTTGGGGAAACGAAGAGAGAGAAGAAGGCGAGGGAGGTCGATGATGAGAACGGGGGGTTTGGGTTTACTTTTATAGAGATTTCACTAAACTCGGAGGCCGCATATGGGCCTTTTTGTGGGCTTGGAATATGGATGGGCCTTCTGCTGAGCGGGTTAGGGTGATTTATTATTATATTTTTTTAATGATATTACTACGCTTGCTCCAAGCAGAACACTATTTGTGACCACTCAACATAACCAAGTAGAATTCTAGGAACCTAGTTCACAATAGCTTAATGGAACTAGACATGATACGAGTTCTACTAACCCTCACATTTCACAAACATTTCAAATATGTATAGCAAACCACATTTCATAGAAATAGAACAATGATTGAATATAAAAGCAATAATTAATAAAAAAAAAACACATTTTGTAAATCCATGCCATATCCACTAAATATACCAGCATGAGAATTTTTAGAGTAATAACCAATAACACAGATATTAAAGTTAGAGTTCGCGCTACAACGCCCTAGCACAATGATTGAGGCGCTCAAGTACAATCGTCGCCTAAACAAATCACAAGTCCCCTCTAAGAATTCTAGTGATAAAACACATAATTCTAGGTTGTACACGTCAATTACAAAAGTCAACCCTTGTTCAAAGTTCAACCGTAGAGTCAATAACTGTAGTAATTCAATTCGAAAGATCTGCACATCAGATTTTCGATTTGTAACCTTTCAAGTGGCCCATTATAGTAAACTAGGTAAAGAGTAGAGATTTTTTACGGTGGTCTAGATTATATGATATTCCAAACATTTAAACTATTAGATTTTTATTTAAACACACAAAAACTAAAGGGGGAAATTTTGAAAAGTAACCATATTTTAGATCCTATATAGAATTATAGCCACCATCTAAGTTTTATGATAATTCTAACCAAAACTTGATGTAAAAGTACTAATAAACCCTTAATATTAGGGTTTCTCACAACAAAAACAAAACCTTCTTTAAACTATTTCGCAACCTTCTGGTTTCTCACCTTAAACCAGAAGAGCACTCTTTGCCGATTTTGCATAATTAAGCAGCAGGGATGTTTTGACCAAAAAAAAAAGGCAGCAAGACGCATCAGCCTTTTTAAATTGTCCAAGAAACAATGGTATGGTTGGTCAATTGTAGATTCCCATTCCTAAATCAACTTCTTGATATTTCATATCATGATTTTAGTCAAAACTTTAATGATTTTCATGTTCCAATGCAAGTGAATATATTATGAATCCTTCGACAAATCAACAAGTTGATTTAAGAATTAAAAGCTCCAATAAAGCAACCATATCAATGTTTCTTTGGCATTTTGCATAAGCAGGTTAGTATGTGCTAATTAATTTTTCTCTGAAACTTTTTCCTAATTTTAATATATTTGTAGGTTAGTTAGACGCGCTAATTAATCTTTTTTTTCATTCAGAATATGACTCAATTTGTGACCGTGGTCCACTACGGATGGAGGAGGGTTGATAGCCAATACACAGATGATCAAGCGAAAGCAATGGTAGTGTCAACCAAAGTTACTCATCAAGATCTTATACATGGAATATATAAATGTCTTCGTGTTAGTCCGAGTGAATTTAGAATCTCAGTATATTATCAATGCAACTTAGGGATGCAAAATATGATGGAGATTATTGACAATGACGATGTGACTAGTTGGGCATGTGAAAGTCTTTCTGCAAAACCGATAAGATTCCGTTATATGTCACAACATATCCTCTAAACGAACCTGAAGATGAACACCCAATTGCATGCAGTTCCCCATCACCAACAGTGGCAATTCAAGAGAATGAGGACATTTTGGGTGATGAACAACCAAGTCAAGTTCTTCAAGACAATGCCCAGATTAGTGAGACTTCAATAGATGTGAGTTTTGAGTTAGACATATTCTCTGTTTTGGTGTTTCTTCAAGGTATTGTGTGTGCATTTTATAATTTTTTTTCTTCACATGGTTGACAACTATACAGGTATCTTCCATTAATCACTATGCAATGCAAGTAAATGAGACAAACTTATATCATATAGTTGACCTAAATGCCAAGACATGCACATGTAGAAGGTTTGATCTCGACCAACTTCCATGTGTCCATGCAACTGCTGCATGTCGAATTCGCAACACATCAGTGTACAATATGTGCTCCAAATTCTACACAGCCAATGCAATTGTGCTAGCGTACAAGGAGCCCATTTGGCCTATTGGAAACAAGAGTGGATGGAGTGTGCCGGAAGAGGTGCAAAATAAAGTTGTGTTACCTCCAATTAGGCAAGTTGTATTTGGAAGACGCAAGACAAACAAAATCCCATCTCAGAGGAGGAAAGGATAGTGAAAAAGTGTAGTCGTTGTGGTGGGACATACCACAATCGCCAAACTTGCAGGAATCCAATTAGACTCCATTCTAGCGCATGATGTGGATGTTTTTCTTCAGAATTTATTACATTATTGGCTTTTATATCATTCGGGATTTATTACATTATTGGCTTTTATATTTTCAATCACCAGTTTAGCAGAAAAACGTCACACAGATTTTAGTTTAAAAGGGTTTTTGCTCCTCTATTTTTAGATTCAAATTTTGCTTCGAAGATTCAGTTTTTGATTAATTTTTATGTTTAGTTTACGGGGTTATCTTCAATTTTCACGTTCTCAGATTACATTTGAATATCTATAGGTTCGAGAGTAGGGGTACTCGGTAGTATTCAAGAGGCTACCTCTTTTATGCTTCAAGATCTCAACTAATTGTTGTTTTTTCATGGTTAGAGCAATGGGGAATTTCTTGTCATTAAGGGTATATTATTACTTTTACATCAAGTTTTGGTTAGAATTATCATAAAATTAAAATGATGGCTATAATTCTATATAGAATCTAAAATATGGTTACTTCTCCAAATTTCTCAAACTAAAATCTTACAGGTCAGAAGTCCGAAATATTCTGTATTCTTAAGTACCGTAGAACTTTTGGTCATGACTCGTGAGTCCGTAATCAAAATCCTAACTCCCCTCTTTAATTCTTAGTACAGATTAGATGGGCCCATATTTGGGTTTTGGGCTCGGGATTTGTACGGGCCTGTTATACCCGTCAAGGCCCAAATATCAAAACTCGAGGATATATATTTCTGCTCATTGTGTTCATCGGAGGTGGAGGATAAGAGAGCGCAGAGAGCAACAGAGAGACTGAGAAATGGAGAAGTACTTCGGAAACGCATACAGAGGCGACCCGGGGGTCCCACACGCCGACCCGGAACGATTTGTGAACATATGGATCGGGTCCGCCGCCTTCTCAGCCCTCACCTGGGTCAATCCCTACATGTGGCAGCTCTCCAATCAGTTCAAGTATGTCACCATTTTTTGAGTTTTGACGATTATCCAGTTTGTGATTTGGTTGTAATTTTGTGTTTATTGAATTTCTGAATTTATTTTTTTCCCAATTTTGAAAAAATGGTTGCAGTTGGCATGACAAAGCAATGCTGTTTGAGCAGTACCACTGGAAGAAGGCCATGAAGAAAGGGGAGCCCTACAAATTTAAGGTATGTTTGGTTGGTTGTGTCCCAAATGTTGAAAAACAAGCTGAAATTTTGAAGCTTTCTACCGATTTTTATGAAACCCAACTGGTAATTTTGTGGGTTTTGAAAATCTTGGAGCCCTGTAATTTAAGGGATGTTTTTTTTTTTTGTTGCTGTTGCAGTGGAACGAGTACATGGACAGGGACCACAGGGAGTCCTACTATTTCAACTGGCCTGTTTACTTCCCTTAGCTGTTTTTACTTGTATGTTGAAATGGGCATGCTCTTGTTTCTAATTCGACTTAGCTGAAACTCTCATAGCATGAAGGGTTATAAGGTTTATTATGCTTCTTCATTGTAATCATATTCTGTATTGAATCGAGTGCTTAAATCCGAATTTTATCCTTTATCATTGCTAATGCCATTGAGTTGTGTGATGTGATCATTTTTTCTGCAGGTGATTGAGTTTGAAAATGATTTCCGCACGCCCATTGCCTTGGAATCCAGGAACATAAATAAACACGGGCGTGCGGAAAAGTGGTTTGCAAAAATCATTTCCTTTGAATCTCTGCATTTGTAACGATATTTGACAAGCATCGTAACATATTTTGTCATTCTTATTCAGACATGATGCTGGCCTTTTCGGGATAAAAGTTTCATAAGGTAATGCAAAACTATCTTGATTGCTAGCACATTGCAAGCTATTTGTTACATTTTGTGAATTGGTAGGTGGGGGAAAAATTGTTTAGCTTGAAAAGCATTATTTTGGGTAATTAGCTGTGCGATTAAGACGGTATGTGAGAACTTTTCTGCTAAAAATTTGCTTGGAGAACTCTCGTAGCTGCGTTACTACAGGATTCAGCTTCGTTCTCTTCTGGACAAGTGAATGATGTAAGTCTTATAAGGGTTCTTAGTAGTGTTTTGATTGAGAAGATTGCCACTTAACCTCAGGCTTCCTGTTTGCATAATGTGGTAATAGAAAGGATTATTGTCCTAACGTTTAAGGGAATGAACCCCTCCCTTAACTTCCCCAAGGACAAAAGTCCTTAGAGTGTCATTGAAGTCCTCTAGCTTAGGTCCTAAGATTAAATGCACTTGGTAAAAAGGGACTGGGATTGCTACTCAGTCACTGGTGGTATTCCTCTTCACTTGTAAATGAGAGGTCTTAAGTTCAAATATCGTGGATGACGAATTTGATACCAAATTCGGTTGCCTAGTGTGTCGCTTAGCCGAAATCCCCTTTCCTCTTAGTGTAAAAATATATCGTCGTACTCAAAAAAAAAAGAAAAAAAAAGGGACTGGGATTTGCTTTACAGAGGTTGTGATCAAAGGTTAGTGGATCTAGGCTATTCACCTTGAGGCTTTGAGCTTTCTCATTTTCTTGCCAAGCAGTTCTGAATCCTTTCCATGGAATCCATGACTTCATTGAAAGTATTACATTAATTTAGGAGAAGAGGAGTTTTGAACTCGAGATGCATGCTAGAAACACAACACACTTTATTAATTAGGATATTGGATCATATGCAAAAACCCGTAAAATTTTGGATAATTGCATTCACTTACAAATCACATAAGATAAGTAAAATATGACGTTGGAATATAGCCAGTCTACTAGTCTAGCTATTCTCGGTCTCCAATTTATTTAAATAAGCTCTTTTTCAACTCAAATTTCGTGTACGAGAAATTTGTTTTTTTTCTTTCAATTTATATAAGAGAGAGGAAGGGTTTGAAATTATTATGCTATTTTGGAAATGAAGAGTTTTAAACATGAGACGCATGAGTATAAATTTAACATTCTATCTACTAGGATATTGAACCACATGTGATCTCGTGGACAAAATTATTAATAAATAAATAAACGAAAAACATAGTAATGCCCCATGAATTTTGGATGTTATTTCACTCCTCTTTGAACATTGAAATAGATTTTGAGGCCCCTAAATTTTCATGGTTCCGTTAAATCATCACATGGTGCAATGCATATGACCAACTTATGAGGGCATATTATGTTAAAAAATGTTACACTCGCAAGTTTATTTAGTTTTTTTCTTTTTGATGAAGAATAAATTGATTAAAACTTAAAACCTCTAATACAACCGTTTTCTATACAATCAAAATTAAAAGCCTCCATAGCCGAAATCGGAAGACAAAAATCCCAAAAATGTGGGTTGGCAACATTGAGGCCCATATGAGCTAATGCGTCCACCACGAAATTAGCCTCCCTATCAATATGCTTCCAATTGATATGTTGAAATTCAGAAGCCAACCATAACGGCCTCCGCAACGGAAATGGTGGCGCATCAAAGTTTAATTTCACATAACTACTTGGAATTCTAGTAAATTAGTTTTGAGAAAGAAAAAGAAGAAGATGAATTGAAACTTTTTTTTTTTTAAAAAAAATATTTTTTTTGGGTCAAATGATAGATTTTGTTGTTAAATTAGATTTTAGATTAGCCATCAACAAGATTTGAACCTACGCCGTCATGCAAGAGCTCAACATCTTTCCACCATTATGGTAAATGATCACTTACAATGAATTGAGACTTTTAAGAACAAAAGTTCATTCTCAATTTTGACGAAATAATTATCCAAACGAATGGTAGGAGACGTTAATATGAAACATTAGTCATTCATTCATTCCTATATCATTCAATAGTACGTTAGTGAAAATAGAAGATCTAAACAGTTAAAAAAAACTAATTCTGACGGCCAAGCCAACAGTAATATTAAATCATACGTAACATTGAAACCATACCCAAATTCCAAATTAAGGGAACTTGCCACTACCATGTGAAAATTACACTAAAAATAAAAGAAAAAGATTAACATCCCATTATCCACAACCTTTTCAGCTGCCACGGTGCCAGAACAGAACCAGGAAACCATGGCATATCTCCATCCGCCATGTCCGTCGCCCACTTCCCACCCAACCTCACGTCCTGCATTCAAACCATCCATCACTGTCACTACGTCGTCTCATCATCTCCCTTCAACCCAAAAGCCCACAGCCAATTCCAACAACTGGGTCTCGGAGTTCCGGTCCAAGTCTTTAAATTTAGTGCTCTCAGGGGCTCTCACTCTCGGAGTCTCTCTCTCAGGTCAGGCAAGCCTTTCCATGTTTTTGTTATCCTTTTCTGTTTTTGTATATAATATAACATAGAACACCAGGAATGTAAAAACTCCTTTTATCTTTGTGTAGGAGCAGGAATTGCAGAGGCAAAAGTTGGAGTGAACAAACCAGAATTGCTTCCCAAAGAGTTTAGCCCTGTAATTGATGTAGCTGGCTTCCTCTCTGATGGCCAGGTCCGTTTTTTGGTTTGTATGCTTTGGTTTCTGTTGACTCACTTATGTTCTTGATTCAATGACCATGAATGTAGTAGTGTTCTGCGTAGTTAGTTTGAGTTCATTGAATTCTTGTGTGTTTAAATGTTCTTAACTAACTAGGTTTTCTGTCTTGCCAATTTAGAACATATTCATATATAACCATTGTTGCCGATTTAACAAATTTATACATTCAACCATTGTTACATCCGAATCTCTACAAGCTGGGTCTTGATCAATGTCCCTATGTAAGTTGGGTCTGGACAGAGACTCTAAGAAAAAACTTGGACTACTTGGATCTAACGGAAGACATGACACAAAACCGAGTGCAATGGCGTTCTAGGATTCATATAGCCAACCCCACTTAGTGGGATAAGGCCTTGTTGTTGTTGTTGCACATTTACCCTTTGCCTCGCTATAGAGTATTTTATTACAGGTCGAATTTTGTATGGCTTGGGACAATCTGTTGGTTATTCCGTTATTTTAATTGGAGGTAGAGCCGGTGAGGGTTTTAGCGAGAATGGACTGTGGGTTGAAGAGATTGTGTGAGGGTTTGGTTTCTGTTGATGAGGATGTATTGATAAATTTTAAATTTAATTTTAGTTGCATCTTGTCCTTGATGGTAATTGTAAAATAGTGTAGAAAAAGTCACTTCACTTAAAAATTTAAGTTGGGTGTAGAGATACAAAACATGTATTCAAATAGAATTTCCCTTTCGGTTTTTCATTTGTTTTTCTTAGATTTTTGGGTTGGAAAAGTGGAAAACTTGCATGTAAGTTATATTGGGAAATGGGATTTTTTTTCTTTTATTTTTAAACATTCGGAATGAAATCAGAGAATTAAATTGAGCTCAAGTGTTATGTATGGTAAAATTTTTCCAGGAGAAAAGACTAGCCGAAGAGATTGCTGATATAGAGAAGTATACTGGATACAAGCTGAGGGTTCTTGCCCAGAACTATCCTGACACACCAGGTTTGCTCAATGTTTTGTAAGGCTTTGGCATTCACCAAGCAGAGTAGTTTGCTTTTGTTTTCTTGTTTCAAATATGGATTGACGCGAGAAAATGTTCTCGTGTCATGCAGTCTAACACGTCAGGTTGCCAGATCGTAAATTAGATTATGTTTGAGATACTGTCTGAGAATATCACATTTACATGGTTTTTACAGTTTTGTTTTCCAACTTTTTGCAGGTTTAGCGATTAAAGATTTCTGGCAAGTGGATGATAGAACTATTGTCTTTGTTGCTGATCCGACCTTTGGTATTGAACTCATACTCACTGATCTGATCTGTTATATTTACGCTTTTCTTTCCTAGGTTAATTAATGTGTCTCTTGATCTCTTTGAGCAGGCAATATACTAAACTTCAACGTGGGAGCTTCAGTTGATCTAGATGTTCCACGCAGCTTTTGGAGCCGCTTGGCAGGGAAGTATGGAAATATGTTTTACTGGAAAGAGAAGGTGAAGAAGTTAGGGCCCTATTGCTTTAGATAACTGAAGTTGTTATGTGGTTGTTTGCATTGCAATGCACAAGATTTTCTTGAGAAAATAATATGATTGTACCTGCTGGATGGAACAGGGAGAAGATGGAGCGATTGAATCTGCGGTGATGGCAATATCTAGCTGCTTGAAAGAACCCGTAGACGCAAATAATTGCTCTGAGGTAAAATAGTAGTGCAGTGAGTACTTTCACTGATTCCTTCATTTGCACCCTGTCAATCTTGTAAAGTAGGATTGTAAATGTTAAAACATTTATGATGACGTTCAAGAGAAGGTATATTGATTCTAAACGAGTTGCTTCTCAATTTGGTCTGCTTTTTTCGAAGCAAAGGAGAAATTAGTGAGTATTCTTGTGTCATCTGTTCGTGTGACTGTAATAAAATGTAAATCTAAACCTAATTATATGTATTTCAGTTCTCACTCGACATTTTCCATCTCGCGTTCCTGTTTTTCCGACCTAATTTTATGTATTTTAGGGTTTACAATGTCGATGCCATTGGTGACAAGATGAGCTGCCATGAACCGAACTATGAATCACATTTTAGCTTCTGTATAACTGTGAACATTTTACCATACGGTTCACTAGAGATCTTACTTCTAGATACAAAGGTTTGGAATTAATACAACCACTAAGTTTACTAGTTAAGGGTTAATCTCGAGAAAAACTTCCATGTATCGTATTCTTCGTTATTCTTTCATGGGATAGAGAAGTTTGTTGTTTTTTTGTTTATCTCGGATTGAACTTTCTATTTCAAAATCTTGAGTTGGTGGTGGAATAAACTCAAGGGTAGTACTATCAACTTCATAGTA